TAAGCGTTAATCACAGTTATAGCTTACGAAGTTTATAGCACATCAATTACAGCAACCCAATAATAAATGCTCCTTATTGGCGCGTCGCGTTGGTTATATATTTATAGGCGTGTGGAGGGTTTCTCGAAATTTCAGTTTTACGTAACAATAGTAACGCTAACACTAGCGTTTACGTACACACATATATTGTTGATTCTTACATTCCAGAATCTTCTACAACTTTAGAGAATAGACGGGAGTGTCGCAATACACATTTAACAATGTGCATTATGTACATTTCTAAATATAAATTTCATTTAAGCAAACATCGATATTAAAATAAATATACAATAATAAATCCGTCACAATCTTAACTGAACGCGGTATAGAGTTCGCTTTTTCTGACTTTGTAGCTCTCCAAAAACAAATGACTGCAAGCTACTAAAGAAGATCTATTATTTAATATGCAAGGCATGAGCTATCACTTGCAATACTTCACGATTTTCCAGTATCTTCCAAAAACAATTGATATAACTCACAAGTAAAGATGAATTTAATGTGTCCATGGTATCTGGTTGTTACGTTATAAGCACTCGTCAGTTTTAGATAATAATAAGAAAAGTGCTTTGTTTGTTTGTTGTTAAGCACAAAACTACACAATGGACTATCTGTGCTTTGTGCTCTGCCCGCCGCGGCTATCGAAACCCGATTTTTAGTGTTCTGAGCCACCCGATTTACCACCAGGTGTGTGTATGCGTGTGTAAGTTTCTCGTAATGCGTGGACAACGCTGTTATTTTTCGTATGGTGTCATTTACAGTTTCTAAGAACTAGATAAATTTAGTTGAAAAAAATGTTTTTTTTTAATAATTATTTCGTTCAGGTACATTCAAAGCACGTCTTAGATTATACACATCACCTGACTAACGACAGACAACTATAGTTGCAGTTTTTAATCACAATAAAATGATGACGAAAAACTATAGTCTGAGTTTCTAAAGACCAGGTACTGAAGAAAACTATAATCTCAGTTTCTAATCATAATAAAATGACGACAGAAAACTACAGTCTGAGATTCTAAAGACCAGGTACTGAAGAACACTATAGTCCCAGTTTCTAATTAATCGGACTAACTACAGAAAGCTACAGGCTCAGTTTCTAAAGACCAGGTACTAAAGAAAACTATAGTCCCAGTTTCTAATTAATCGGACTAACTACAGAAAGCTACAGGCCCAGTTTCTAAAGACCAGGTACTGAAGAAAACTATAGTCCCAGTTTCTAATTAACCGGACTAACTACAGAAAGCTACAGGCCCAGTTTCTAAAGACCAGGTACTGAAGAAAACTATAGTCCCAGTTTCTAATTAACCGGACTAACTACAGAAAGCTACAGGCTCAGTTTCTAAAGACCAGGTATTAAAGAAAACTATAGTTTTAGTGTCTAATCAACAAGGATTAACGACAGAAAACTGCAGTCTCCACTTCTAAACACCATGGACTGGAAACGGAAAAATAAAGTCTCAGTGTCTAATCAAAATGAACTGACAACAGCAAATTATACAGTCTTCATTTCTAATCATAGAGGATTGACGAACTATAGTTTTTACGGTCTCAGTTCTAATATCACGGAACTGGAAACTGAAAATTATAGTCTCAGTTTATAAATAACACGAGCTGACGACAGAAACAATATAACTTCAGCTATCAATCAGAACAGCATGACAACATAAAACTTTAGCTTCAGTCTTTAGTTGTAACGAATTGACAACGGAAAACTACGTGCTCAGTTACCAATCACACAGACTGACGAGAATTAGACTTATGCAGTTTCTAATCGCCAGTGGCTGACAACAGAGTATTACAGCCTCAGTTTCTTATTAGCGCGGACTGATAAAAGTTAGGAAACTACGGCATCAGTTTCTAATCGCCATTGGCTGACAACAGAGTACTACAGCCTTAGTTTCTTATTAGTGCGGACTGATAAAAGTTAGGAAACTACGGCATCAGTTTCTAATCG